AGTTGTACACACTGAGGAGAACTACAGTGTACAACTGTTGGAGTAATGCTTTTAGATAGCGATAAATGACTAAATGAAATTCAGTCATGTGTATCAAGAATAACTTTAATGCACCTTCGGATTCCTTCTCCAAATTCTACTGAAGGAATGGACTTCATTCTTCCTAAATCAATTTCATCAATAGCTTTTGTGATGGAGAACGCTGTCTTTAGCAGTTTCAGTAATGGCTGACAACAGTAGTTTGCTCGATAACCCCACTGTTGATACATGTGTTTGTGCACGGATGAGACCCCAATACAGCTGTTTAGTATAAATGAACATTATTTCATCTGTCATAGTGGACAGAGTATAACTTTGATCCTGTTGTGTTGCATCTGCATTAAACTTGAGCATGAGTTAATTTTCTATTAATATTTTTATTGTCAAAATGTTGCTTCTACTAGCAGCACTGCAACTCAGTCGGTGGTTTTGAGGGTAAATACTAAGAAATAGGAATATATAAACAGTCTTGTGGTGACATAATGGCTGACAAATTCTATCACAGTAAATAGTCAATGAGATCACACTTTTTCTTACACTCTTACCTGTATTGACAAAAGTTTATCTGTCACAGTAAGGGTAATATCTAATGGCTGACAACAACTCTGGGTCAGTCACAGCCTTTAAAAAAACATAGCCTTTAAGTGTAAATTTGTTTGAAAAGGTGAAAAATAATCTTTTGAGGCTTTGAAGCTAATTTCAACCATTCACCAAATTTTCTTCTAACAAAGGTTCTAAAATAGATCTAAATGGTACACATATTAAATCTTTCTAAAGTCAATATTTGGTAGATGTCTAGGTCATATATAGTTTATTTTTTCCTTTCAAAATGCGATATCAGGCTTTTTTGTGGTGAAATGTTTGTGATTAAACAGCAATAACAATACCAGGCTTTGGTCATAAAGATGGAAGTAATGTGCCTTTGAAGGTTTCAGTAGTTGAACCTGTCAAAGGAATGTTGGCTGAGTGTTGGTGCTCCATTTGCAATCAGATGTCAGAATTTGGACTTCAAGTTGGACTTCTAACTCACAAAGTCAGAGCAGCCCCACCAGCCCCATATTCTGAATCTAATTAGGAGCAATGCATGTAAGTGTTGGTAAAAATGTAAAAATTCGAATGTAGTCTGCTGCAAATTGCACGATAAAGGTGAAAGCAGCACTTTAGGGCCCAGACCAGTGTTCATGGCGTCTCATCAAATATAGGTTATCCAGTGTTTTTGTGTCTGCTGTTTGCTAAATTCTGATCGTCTGCACTGCACACTGTTTCAGATGTTTTTCTTCTTCAGTTCAGTAATAACAGTGCACATGCACACACAGACATGCACATGCACACACAGACACACACACACCATATCCCACACGGAGGAGGCACAGTGAGAGCCTCCTTCTGTGTTTTAACTAGACTCTTCTCTTGCCCTAGCTTGCCAAGTTCTCTGAGGACACTCTAAGCAGCTACACCGAGATGGTTTCCTCTCAGGTATAACCTCATGCTGTTTGACACCCCATTCTCTCCCCCCGCCTAAACTTGCTTGGCTCCCAAATCCACCTGAACGAACCCACTCACTGTCTTTACCCGTTTGTTTGCAACCCTTCCGTGGAACCATTGTACATAGCTCTTGCTACTTTTCCACCTTCCCCTCTCACCCTCAGTCCCACTTACATCTGAATGTCTTACATAGACATTAGATTCGGTGTCCTTTTTGTTTGCTTTTTGCTTTCATCCAAATGCTTGACTTTGCTTTTTGTTTGTAAATGCTGTTTCCCTCTCTTTGAATGATTTTGTTTGGACCTTATTGGTCAACACAATTTGACCAAGCAACTCTTCATGTGATTTTTACACTCAGATGCCTCCCGTTATAAGATAAGATAACCTTTATTAGTCCCACACGTGGGAAATTTGTTTTGTCATCGAATAGTTACCTTCAATAATCTATCCTGTGTGTTTAAGATTATGTGTTCATGTCCATGGTTACTACTTCTGTACCCACCACCTTACACAGCTTCTAACCAAACTCAGTCATTGTCTTCTGTTATAACTGGACAGTAACAGCTGCCACCAGTCTGTCTTTTTCCAAACATTTAGTATTTGGTGTTTGAATCAGAGAAAATGATAGAAAGTGTTGAGGATAAGAGAGGCACTGACTCTTTGTTGGACCTTTCACCTCTGCTTTTTTGCTTATACTGCATGACTAGAAATTTGGTTTCCTCTCCTTGTGTCCTCTCCTTATCAACAGTGAACCATGAAAATATTTCCCACCTAATTTCATAAAATAAAGTTTGACTTTGTGTTTGGAAGACATGCTGGCCAGTGAGCTGCAGGGGAGTTCAATGAAAGACTTTGAACTCCTCTGTGGCTGTCAATCCTGCACATTAGCAGCTCAATCTGTTATTTAAACTTGTAGGGAACATGTCTATAGAAAAGTGAAGTGTAGTGGACAAATTTGCATTCACAAAAGAGAACTGGGGTGGCTTCTGCTGACAATCTAATTACAGTATCTGACAGCTTAGTGGGAGTGGAAGATTCATCAAGAGGAAGGTTTCTCTGTTAAACACGCTCCTGATCTGAACCTAATGACACTCCAGATCTCTGACATGCAGGCATAACGTTTATGACCACTGACAAGGAAAGTGAATAATAATAATAATAA